CCACCTGTTCACATTTCCGTTTAAACACTCATCATATTTCAACGAATTGGATATGCTAAGAAAATGGCCAAAGAACGAGAGGAGGAAGATGAAAAAAAAAAACAAGTTGTTATACCAAGGCTTTGCTACGTTACTCATGTAGTCAATGTACATGATGAGTGTCCAGACGCATAGAGCTGACTCTTCAAAGATGTACCACCTGATATGGTGGAAACACATCATCAGACTAAATTACCATCATTATCGAACAATGTAACAGTACGAGTTCAGATTTTAGAGGCTTACCAGAATTTACAATGGTTTTTCTGGCCTATACATGTTCCCAGCCAAAGACAGTGATGATCAAACTGAAGAACGCATCTGTCACAATCATGACAATGCTTGGCTCGCGGAGGCTGCAAAGCATCACGAGAAAGATTTAGGGAAGGAAAACTTGAACAAAACAGCAAGTTGAAAAACTATTACAGTGGATCCAATTGTTACCTGCTCGACATGACAATAGCTGCAAGTCAAATTCCTGCAGGTTATAGAAAGAAACAATTCAGTACACTCCTCCTTACTAATAGTTACCCAATTCATAAGCTGATTCTTCAAGATTCACACAGTAAGAGAAGCCTTTGAATTACCTTACTGATGTTCCTGGAGGGTACAAGTCCAGAACCAACTTCTGCCATGAAGTTGGAGTCCTTCTTGCACCTGTTGTTGCTGATTCTCCTTCCACATTAATAACGAAACTCCTACTTTCTCTGGAAGCAGGTTGTCTTCGCTTAAATAATGACATAATCAAAGTATAACACGACAGTGAGACAGACACAATTTTTAAGTATAGACGACTTCACTTCCCACCACTTATTAGTTCCACCAAATTCCAATAAAGAGTTTGCTACCACAAATAACAATTTCTTACATTGAGGTCGTTGGTACGTTTCTGTATATCGCATTCGTCTCGCTAACATCCCTCATTGCATCAATAACATATCTACAAAAAAACCAGAAACAAAAGAAGGTTTTTAGTATTCAATTGCAGAATCAAAATGAAACGCATGAAGGCATGGATAAGTTTAGTTACCCAGGAGAAGAGCCAGAAGTTACAAAATACTGCAGAAGCGTAGCAGAGAAGAGCAAGAAATAAGAGGACATGTACCTGTTAAGAGAATCAAACAGTAACAAAAAGTTAAGCTCTTTTGATTGGAGCTGAGCAGTGATTACAAATTTTCCAGAGAGATGAGCAGAGCAACTACCATGGATCTCGTTTAGCTTTCTCAATAAATTCTGCATCGAAAAGGAAGAGAAATCCGATGTAGACGAGGTGGAGCACTACTAGTGCCAATTTCAGAAGCAGAGAAGATCTTCGAACTGGTAAATTGAAGAAAAATCCGAGGGAAATTAGTTAGTGAAATCAGAGCCAAAATTCAAACTTTGCTAACAGATCAGAAAGGGAAATTGAGGAGGTGAGAAGAAACATCGTCGTTAGGGTTAAAAGATGGGAGGAGAAATTGTACCAGGATCGGAGAGACAAGGGAGGTTGAGGAGAAATCGGTCTTGCGTTCGATCCCAGGGACGAAGGATAGGGCAGCAGACGCCCATGGTTGACTCTCTCAAGCAAACATTGGGAGGGGAGAGAGAGAAAGAAAGAGAGAGAATCGCGCACGAAGCCAGAAGAAGAAGATCTTCAAATGTAAGAAGAGAGAGAGAGAGAGTAAGGGATTAATTTGCCATTGCCAGATTACTGTTTTAGTAGCAGCCAACAACGCAATGGAGAGAGAGAGCGATGATGAAGCAGCTGTAAGATTGGGAAGACAGACTTTAATTGGGCCTTTTGGCAAATTGAGGCCCAATTAATATTGGGCTTTCACGAAACTATAATACCTGTGTTCAGTGTGACTCCCTCGCAAAGTCAGAGGCAAGCAAACTCTCATTTGTGCTTCCATGTCGCATATCATATCTCTAAGAGTGTTGAGCTTTCAACATCGGTTACAATTGAGGGCTTTATCAGTGATTCAAAAACCCATAAAATTCATGTTTTCAGGAGCTTTGTGATGAATCTGGCGGTTTGGAAGCGATTATGTTGGTTTTATCAGTGATTTGATATTTACCAAATTTGGAATACCGGTGGGTTCATGATATTGTTTCAGGGTTAAATATTTATAAACCTGTCTTTTAAGTAATGTCATAAACTAAATAGGTAAAAAGGTAAAAAAAAAAAAACATAAGCTCAATCCTTAGAGACTTTCCTCATTTCACTGAATTACATAATTTGAAATCATCTAAACTTTTTTGAAAAGATTCTTAGAATTATTAATTGAAGATGTGCAAAATGACACAAAATACTGAAATAGGTTGACACAATCTGAAAAAGTCCTCTAGATATGTCTTATTCTATAACAGTGTTGTAAGTTAAGTACATATCTCATTGAGATTTCCTTTTGTTTTGACATAACTGTTAACTAGTCTAAATGTAAAAAGACCAAAGACTTTTGCATGTTCTGTCTTCAAAAGTAATAAAACAAAAGAAAAAGGAAAACAAGTAGAAACAGGCATGCGAGCACGTTCGTTCGTTATGATCAGGCAAATAAAAATGGAGAGCACATCATCTCCATTCCTTAAAGCCACCGCTTTCACTTTTATTCACATTTTACGTTTCCTCTCTCTCTCTCTCTCTCTCTCTCTCTCTCTCTCTCTCTCTCTCTCTCTCTCTCTCTCTCTGCTTCCACTTGTTAAATACCAAACCAAACCAGAGAAGATCAAACATGGCCAATTCTAGAAGATTGTTTGGAGTCGTAAGGAAGAAACTTCTCCTGAGATCTCCCAGCAGAATCACAATCATTCGCTCATCCCCAGAAACCAATAAAGAAGAAATCGCCGCCATTAAAATCCAAGCTTTCTTCAGAGGTCACCTGGTAAAATAAAAACACTAACACACATTTTCTTTATAAACATCTCTGCAAATTTTCAAAACCTTGTTCTTGTTTTGGATTGACCATTTTGAGATGGGGGTTGCAGGCAAGGAGAGCGTTTCGAGCATTGAAGAGTCTGGTGAAGTTGCAAGCGGTGGCGAGAGGAGTGCTTGTGAGGAGACAAGCTCGAATAGCGTTACATTGTATGCATGCTCTTGCTCGTTTGCAGGTTAGGGTTCGTGCTCGTCAGCTTCTCTCCCATTAATTCTCTCCCATGACCACTTCTTGATTTTCCTCTGTTTCAAAACCTTTTGTGATTGTGACATCTGTATAATATCATTGTCCTTTCTAATTAACTCACCGGTTCTGATTTTGTATATGTACTAATTAACTCTAACACATTGCATTTTGTACTAATTAATAAACAAGATCAGCCTGACATTCTGTCTCCAAATTTTGATGAAAATTATTTAAGAAATATACATTTGATGGATTAAAGGAAGCAAAAGGCCATCACAAGAGATGATGAAAGATAGGGTTAGTACCTTGGATGAGAAGAAATGTCAAGGATTCCATGGAGATGCACATTTTAAGAATCTGGAACTTATAAGCAAGATCAGTTACCTGAAAGAGTTTACATATAAAACCACAACAAAAAGAAACATAGAGCTCGATCCATAAAGGTGGATCTACAAGAAACAAAGTCCAAAACGAGAGAGCACTGAGATATTGGCGCGGCTCAATCAGATACATTTTGTGGAGAGGAAAATTCAAAAGATCTGAATGAACCAGGCCAATATCAAAGGGACACTGTCGTGCTTAAGTGTAAAGATCAAAAGGAAGCTGTATTGTTGAGTGAAATTGACAAAACAAGAAAGAAGAAAGAAGAGAGTGAGGGGAAGTGTGAGGAGAAGAGAGAATGTCTGTGGGGGAGTTATAAAGAGAGAGAGGAATTAATTAGGGTGTGAGAGAAGGAAATGGAAGGTATGGAGCATTAAAACCACATCTACTACCAAAGCACAAAAGCTGGGTCACCCTCTTTAATCCCATCTCTCTCCTTTGCTCTTCTCTCTCTCTCTTCATATAGTTTCAACTTCCATTACATATGTCCATCGCTCGTAACTAAACTGGCTATGCAATGAGAACCTATACTCCTTTGTCTCCTCCACTGTCTTTCCTTGTTGAGATTTATTACAAAAAATAAATAAAATGATTTTGAGGAAGAAGTTAAAGAACATCGAAGATGCTCTACAATAAATTTTAAGGGAATCTCGCAGAAGGGAGGGGACACTGGCCCTGCCTGCAACCATTAATGTTCTTACTTCTAGGCCCTCTCTTTTTCTCTCTCTCTTTTTGCTTTTTACAACCTCAAGCCAGTTATGAACCCTAATGACCCTTCTCTTTCTCTCTCTCTCCATTGAAGATTCTCAAGAGAAAGATCTGACTTTTTTTAATGTCACATTGTAACAAGAGAGCTTTTGTTAAAAACCCAATCCCTTTTTTTGTCTGGTTAGAGGACGGGTGGGGAGGCAAGAACTATTGCACACATGTATTTACTTCTCTCTAGCTACAATCCGGTCCACACTTTGCCTTAAATTTTATGCACAACACACATTACCTCTCTAGACTGTACCCAATTATATTGTCTGGACTTGGTAAATATGTCAAATCTCTAACAACTGTACCTTGTTCTTGATCTACACATTATCAACATGCTTAATTCTTTCTTTTGATTTTGGGATACTTCAACTAACATCATTGCGGCCTTAAAATAACATTAAGAAGTAATCACTATCAAGCAAACTTGGTGTCATGATGTAATTGCGCGTGATGGAGATGACTTGCGCATCATTGCTCCTCTGTATAGTGAATGCGAAACATACATAAATACGATAGAAGAAAAGCCTACATTCGTTCATCATCAACAACAATTACATCATTACACAAAGGTTTGCTGAATAAATAAATAATTACTGGAATGAGTTTCCAAACGTCAGTAGTGTGTGGCTTTCACGTTAAAATTATACATTCTTACACCAACAAGAGTGTCTTTTTTTCTTCTTTCATAACTACAAAAGATGGAACCTAAAAAGAGGAGTAGCTTTAGAGTTTCTTGGGGAAAGTCATACCACCGCCTCTGATAGAAAGAGAAGGTCCTTTGGCAGAGCTCACTACATTGGTATCAAGGAAGATGACGACCACTGTTATATCATCGTGGAAATGCCTCCTCACTCCTCTCTCTATCTTCTTCAGATCAGAGTACCTCATCTCTCTTTTCTTTGCCGCCGCTTGCAATGCCATCTTCACCAGTCTCCGTGCAATCCCCTGCACTCATTCACACAACAAAGAGCCAGTGAGTTTTGGTTGTGAATAAATATGTTACTAAAACGTCAAAAAGAAGAAGAAGAAATGAGTCTCACGCACGTTTCGAGGGTGGTTCTGAACGATGTCAACAGCTTCTTGGTTGCTCAGCTGCTCCCATAGTCCGTCAGAAGCAAATATCAGAAACTGATCTTGAGGTTGTAGCTCATGCTCTGTTATTGTCGGTTCCCCACTCAAGATCGGTCTTTTGATCGGCTCGCGGAGTCTGTACTTTGTGTACAATGGTTCCTTGTTGAACTCTGCTTTCTTTAGATACATGTCGCCTATGGATCTAGATACCTGCATAGAGAAACAAACATATCTAGCCTTTTTAATTTCGATATTCGTAGTTATCTTGACAGTGCAAAGGAACAAAACATATCTAGGCATTTGCACCTACTGTTATGGAGACAGAACACATGTTCAACTGTCTTATTGACATATACAAACTGGCTTTCAGACACTAGCAACTTTAACAAGAGCTCTGACTTTCTCGGGTTGGTGGGTTTGGTATTTGTTTTGACAAAGTCAAGGTCACTACTTACAAATTAGCCTTCCGAGTGTAAAATCTAATTTAATGCATAGTCCTTAGTCCTTATCCAGATACGAAAATGACAGCAAAAATTGATAGATCTCTTGTTGATCTTGACATGGTGCAAGTAACAAAAAAAAAAAAAAAAGTTTTGTAAAATTCTAGCGCCTTGGTCAAGAAGAAGATCAAGGCCATATATTCAAACTTTCTCCACTTTGTATGAAAAAAGACGACTAAGGTAATCATATACAAATAAAAAAAAAACTGAGTCCTTGATCAAAATTTAATTAAGATTGAGAAGCATACCTGAATAAGGCCCTTGACACGCCACACATTATGCTTCAACATGACGATATGCGAGTCATCAGGGTGCAAGGAGTGCATTTCCTGCCTAACAGACTCAATGCTCACATTATGTTCCGCTGAGAGCTGCAGCGCAATAACCTCCCCAGTCGCCTTCATAGCCCTTCCAAGGACCGCACGGGAGTCACCAACATTAGCTATGTAGAGCATCCCTTCGCATATAACACCCACCAGGCAGCAAGACCCAACCGCTGCAATCAGCGGCTTAACCGGCCACTGCTTTGTCACA